ATTAAAAAAGAAAATAACCTGATAATATCTTAGATGCAGAAAAAGCATAGGATAAATTTCTAAAACTTACTAATTTAACTTGATAAAGAGTATATACCAAACAGTTGTAAACTTTTTATTTAGTGGTTAAACATTTCAGTATTTGAATCACCATCTTTTTTTTTAAATTTCTTTATTGATTAAGGTGTTACATATGTGTCCTTATTCCCCCAATACCCTTCTTAGTCCCCCTCCCACTCATGCCCTCACCCTCCTGTTGTTTGTGTCCATTGGTTAGGCTTATTTGCATGCATACAAGTCCTTTGGTTGATCTCTCCCCCTATCCCCTACTCTCCCCTACCTTTGAATCACCATATTTTTTTTTTGACAATCTGACCAAAACAATATTAGAAAAATGTCATAAAAACTTGGAAAGAGTTAGAATATTATCAGTTATAGGCAGTATGATTGCCATGAAAATGCAAGAAAATGAACTGGAACCCTATTATAACAAATCAGCGAGTTTAGTACATAAATCCAAGACTGAGCTACAACTGTTCTCCAACAATAAACAACATAACAAATGACACAAATAAAAACCAACTGAACCCACCAGCCCGTGTGGCAATGTCAAGCATTCCAGTGGCCACAAGCATTTTATTTTTTTTCTCTTTTCTTCTTCGGATGAGAAACACCTGGCTGCCTCAGTTGCCCCCTGTCCCAGACTCCTCCATGAGCAAATCCAAAATCTGTCTACCCTCACATCGTGTGTGTTTGTGGTACAGCCAGAACCCAGTACAGGGAGTGAACTGTGCAGACCTAGTCACTAATATATAGCTTTCTAGGAACCTGTAGGGCTGGGGTTGTGACCTACTGGCTTCTGGCTAGGAACTGTCTGCTGAGGTCCAAAGTCAGAGCAACCCAAAGACATCTTTCTATTGTACATCCTTAGGGTGTTTCTTCCAGCAGTTGGGAGGTTTCAAACATTGTCCCAGTAGGATATAGCCATGTATTCGGAATGAAGTCTTCCACATTCGCTGCCCACTTGGTGGGGCCTGGCATTGCCACATGTCTTACAGCTCCTGTAGAGTAACGAAGCCTTCTCTTCAGGGTGTCTGTCACTGGGTTTTGTTTTGCATGGTGCATTCCTGTAGCTAAAACTCTCAAACCTCAAACATCCAAATGTTAATGATTCATGATCACATGAGAAATAAAAACACATTAACATTAGTAAAAGATTATTGCCTTGTTTACATACAATGTCTAACAAGTAATCGCTTGTTTTTTTTTACTAAGATGAACTATTATACTCAAAACTATTAAATTTAATTAAAAAATGATATGCTTTTCTTCCAAAAAACCTCCCACAAAAACATGAGTATAACCCCAGAAAAATCAGAGGGAAATAGGGAATAAAATATATTGGAAAAACTAATGACTAAAGGTTTCAAATTTTGTGAAAACTATAAATTCATAGGGCCAAGGAGTACTAAGCATTTCAAGCAGAATAAATGAATAAACACAAACACTCCAAGGAATATCTTAAAACTGATGAAAATCAGTAATAAATAGAAAATCTTAACGGATTGTAAAGTAGGACACACTCTATATAATAAAAAGTAATATGCAAATCGACTGAATGGTGGAATAACTGGAATGCCTCCAGCCCCACCCCAGAGCAGGCACCCCACCCCAAGCAGAGTTAGGGCCAACCCACAAACTGCCTATGGCCCCTCACCCCAGCCAACTCGTCCCTGTTGACACACATCAGGGGTAGTCTGGCTGCACTCCACCAAGTGCACAAATTTGCGCACCAGACCTCTATTCTATGTTTTATATTCTATAAAACCCTAATATGTAAGTCAACCAAATGGTAGAACAACCAGTTGCTATGATGCACACTGACCATCAGGGGGCAGATGCTCAATGCAGGTGCTGCTCCCTGGTTGTCTGTGCACTCCCACAGGGGGAGTGCTACTCATCTAGAAACCAGGCTCACAACTAGCGAGCACAGCAGTGGTGGTGGGAGCCTCTCCCGCCTTTGCAGTAGCACTAAGGAGCAGTGAACCGAGCAATAAGGAGCAGTGAGCAGGTGAGTGGTAAGGGGCAAGGGGTCCTGGATGGCAAGAGGGACGTTCGACTGCTGATTTAGGCCTGCTCCCTGAGAGTGAGCCTAAGCTGTCAACTGGACATCCCCCATGCGAGGGGGCACAAGCAGGGCTAAGGAACCTCCCCACTTCTCTAGTGCACGATTTTCCTGCACCGGGCCTCTAGTGTAGAATAAAGCAAAGACAGGAGAGACTGAAGACTTCTCTTCAGAAATAGCCCTGGCCAGTGTTGCTCAGTTGGTTGTTCATCGAGGTCGCCAGTTTGAGCAGATGCCCAGGCTGTGGGTGGTGAATGTGCAGTTGGGTGGTGAATGGGTCAGTGGGTGGTGAATGGGCACCCGGGGTGCATATGAAAAGCAACCCAGGTTTCTCTCTCCTTCTTTTCTCTCTCTCTCTAAAAATAAGCACACACATATTTTTAAAAAATGCCAACCATGGGAAAATGGGATGACATCTTTAAAGTGTTGAAAAATAAAAAATCAACCTGCAGCACTAATAATCCAGCAAATATGTCTTTCAAAAATTAAGGTGAAATAAACATGTTTTTTTTTTCAGTTAAACAAAAGCCAAGATAATTTGTTGTTAACAGACCTGAACTACAAGAAATGTTAAACAAAGATTTTTAAAAATATATATATTTTATTGATTTTGTACAGAGAGGAAGGGAGAGAGATAGACAGTTAGAAACATCGATGAGAGAGAGTCATCTATCAGCTGCCTCTTGCACACCCCCTACTGGGGATATGCCCGCAACCAAGGTACATGCCCTTGACCAGAATCGAACCCGGGACCCTTCAGTCCCCAAGCCAATGCTCTATCCATTGAGCCAAATCGGTTTTGGCTTAAACAAAGATTTTTAGGTGGGAGGGAAATCATTGATCATAGGAGACCTGGATCTACACAAAGTAATAAAAAGTCCTAGAAATGCTAAGTATGTAAATCAATAAAAATATCTTATTTCTCAATTTCTTTAAAGATAGTTAGGCATTTAAACTGGAGAGATGACTCATGATTCTACCAGTTAGGACAATTAAGTGAGGCAACCAACTTCAACTCTACTTGTTTTCTAAGCAGATCACACCATTTGTTGCAATATACATTAGCGGAGGTAAGTGCAGAACGACCCAAATAATTTTGTGTGGCCCATGTAAAGCACCCAGGAATGCATAACTCACTACCCACAAAATTAATACAGCAACTTTCAAATGGTCTTTGCTATATAAAGTACTGTATTAACCACAAGCTCTTTCTATTCTGCTAGAAGACTTTCAGAGTCTCACAGAGCTGAGTTCTTCCCAAAAGCTCACTTTTAGTAATATAGTTAAGAATATTTGCACACAAATCATCAAAATTTTGTATTGTGGCATTCATATTTAGTTGCTTCTTCTATTAAATATGAATTCCACTAGGTGGAGACATTTGCCCAGTTTTGTGGTTCACATTGACGGGGTTAAGAGAAGGCAAGTAGGGAAAGCAGGAGAACAAGTCAGAAAGAAGGCAAACAGACTGGACAAGGTCTGGTGCTTTGCGTTATATTGATATTAGCTTGGCAAATGTATCCACATTACTGCACAGAGTGCAGTATTTGCTTTTAATGGTTAGCAAAGAAAAGTAGCAAGCTTTCTAGGTTGATAGTATATATATTTTTTGTTTTGCTCTAATAATTTGAACTTTAAAATAGCCATTATGGGTTGAATAGATTACTAACCATGCATAGTATACTTTTTAACTTAATCCTATTTGACAGTTCTTACATTAAACAATGATGTGTTAACTAAGGATCTTTAACAATGGTATATATCCTGTTTTTACTATATTTTAGGTATTTTATATTTAATTAAGATGATCGTATATGGACTATTATTACACTATACATAATTTTATGTAACACTTTAGTCTTTTTGATTTTTAAATCCTTATCCAAGGATATGTTTTTACTGGTTTTTGAGAAAGAAGAAGGGGAAAGGGAGGGGGGACAAAAAAGGGATAGAGAGAGAAAGAGAGAGAAACATCGATCAGTTGTCTCTGCCTGGACCAGGGTTCGACTGAGAATCCTGGGGATTGAACCCCACAACCTGGTGCCATAACCAAAGAAAGGGACCTATGCATTGAAGGGTTCATTTCCAACTCCCACCAACTGAACCACACAGCCAGGGCTACTTTAGTCTTTATACTAGTGACTTCAGATAAAGTGACCCTTCTTCAACTTATGGGAAACAATATGTTTTAATATGCTATGCAAGTGACAAATATGTGTGAGATAATTCTCAAAGTAAAATATAAAGGCCCAATGTATTGTGGGAAATTTTTTTTTTTTTTCAATTTGAAGCCTTTTGTGGTCATCTTGTGTTTCTACTTTTCTGTTTTTATTGGTGCCAACATTATATGGAAACAATATCTTTTTACTTAAATAGGAAATTCATCTGCTCTTTATTTTGTGTTTGAAGTCCTAATGCCCTGTGTCATCAGTTAATTTACTTCAAGGAAGTCTCTGAAATGTTGAATTTTCTGAAAGCAACCCAATTCTGTTTCTGTGTGATTGTTGTTTTTTTTTTTTAAGTCTCTCTTGTATGACTACTATTGTCTCTAATTTTATTGTTTTAAAGATTCTCTATTAATTATCTACAGCTGTTCTCATAAATTGATTAAAAACATAACAGACTTTTATCTTCTAATCCCTTTGAGAAATTTTAGTGATTGATTTATTTTTCATTTTCCATCTGTGGGAAAGGGATGACACATCAGATGTTTATAAAAGTATAGTATTGTTAGAATTCTAAATTTTCATTTCTAATAGATCTTATGTAATTTTGAAGTGATGCATTTGATATTTCATTTAAAACAGTCAGTATGCCCTGGGTAAAATAAGATGACTAGTTCTCCCACTAATCTAACAATTAGTGTTCTCTTTAGGATGAAGGCCTGGCCCGCCAGCTGGTGGAGCTGGGCTACCGAGGGACCGGAGAGGTGGTGAAAAGGGAAGATTTTGAATCCAGGAAGGCAGCTATTGAGATTGCAAGGCTGGCTGAGCGAACTCAGAAAAAGTAAGTGTCCATGTTCTAAATCTAGATTTTATAGTAAATGTAGATCCCTTGGAAGAACTCATTTTGTTGTTATTGTTGTAATTTGAAAGCACTAGTTGTGGCCGGTCAAAGTTGAAATATCCTAAAGTGTGTTATGAGTAACTTTTGCCTTAGAATTCATTGTACTTCTGAGACCTGTAGAGATTTGGCATCATTATGTTCTCACATTTTTGTAAACATTGATTTATTCAACTCTTTTAGTGATCACTGGCTTTTGTTACTGTGACTAAGATATGGTTATATAAAACATGAGTCTAATAAAATATATCGAATGTATTATGAAAGAGAGGCACACCTAAAGTGAACTGTACGGAACTGGTAAAACAATTTTATAAAGACTTGACAAAGTATTATGTATTTCCTTTTAAAAATGAATGCTAAAGTTGTAAATGTTGGAGAGGATAATTACTTAGAAGTAGGGATTTGTTCCTAGATAAGATTTTAAGAAATATCTAGTAATTATGAGTAGTAATTATCCATTTATTTATTATAAAAAATAGCATTTGGTAGTGGAATATAAATTGGTTATGGGAATGTATAGTTTTAATTGATTGTCCTAGTGGTTATTGTAGTTCAGAACCATAGAATATTGAAATTTAATATACTGATATTTGGTAATATATTAAATGTTATTGCTGCCATAGCACACTATTACAAAGAGTAGCTTAAAAGGACACAACTGTATTTATTTATTCATAGCTCTGTAGGTCAGAATACAAAGTATAGTAGTTCAGATGGATTCTCTGCTCAATATATCAAGGTTGAAATCCTGATTCTGGCTAGACAGAGTTCTTGCCTGGAGGCTCTGAGAATGAGTCTGTTGCCACACTCATTCAGGTGGCTGGCCAATTTAGCTCCTTGTGAGTATAGAATTTGGATCCAATTTCCTTGTCAGCTGTCATTTGGGCATTGGTTTATGCTCCTACAAGCTGCCCATTCCTTCTTATGCTTTCCCCGTGGTCCCCCACCATCAAGAATGGGTCATATTTCCTCGCCCTTCAAGTCTCTGTGACTTCCTCTCTGCAACATCTTTCCTGACTCCAGGCAGAGAAAAATCTTTCCTCATAAGAGTTCATGTGATCACTCAAGGTCTGTCTAGATAATCCAGGATGGTCTCCCTATTTTCAAGTCTGTGACTTTCATTACATCTGCAACTCTCCATTGCCACGTAATGTAACATATTAACAGCTTCTGAGGATTCATGGGCATCCTTGGAGGGGGGTATTCTACTTATCACAGGTAATTTATTTAAAGCTTCAATAATTTATTCCACAGCATTAGACTCAGCTTTTATCCTTAAAAAATTGAAATGATGCAAAGTGCATGTGTATAATGTAATGTGTCTGACATAAAACATCAAAGAAGTCTTCTATAAATATCAATAGATGCTTATTAGTCAGGGGAAGAAGATATTTCTGAGATTCTATGAGGAATTAGTGTATATTCATATTTTATTAGAGATGTATTTCATATCAAGATGAGTTTTGTCATGTTTAAAGTGTAAATTTCATCCATGTACATGTCCATTTTGTGTTTGAGGATCAAAGTGGATGTTTATGCAATAGACTCTTTAACTGGCCAGAGCTGGAAGTCATTAGAGGACTTAAGTGCCAGTCATGGGAGATTAATCCCCACCCAGAGCTGCTAGAATTGGAAGGCCCTTTCATCTGCAGATCTTCTCAGCCTGCCTCTATAATGGGTGGGCTCCATATGTTTCCTCTTGCCCCATGTGGGAGTCACTTTGTTCCCTTCCCTGCCAGATCCATTGTATGTTATTGGCAGCCGAGCCAGTAGAGCATGTTCTAGAGCCACACATGTCCTGTGCCTGTGTTCGCTAGAGGATCACTTTGAAAATATGCAGGAACGTATGACTGCTTACCAACTGGTACCAACTTGGAAATACTTGATGCTGCTGTTGGATTATCTTATATTAACTTCTCTAATGTGTAGGGAGCAGCCTCAACTAGATCACATCTGTTCTAGCAACCAGAGAGCACCCATTTCATGAAGTGCTGACACCTAAGAGTATGTCATTACTTATAATTGATAGAGGAAAGAGTTTGGATAGATGAAAGTTAGAGATATCAAGAAGGGGTATTTTGATAATTACTTTTCTAGAAGAAGGCATAAGGCAAAGAAAAATTATTCTGGGCTATTTAGTAATTCACTTCACAAATACTCATAGACAACCATACTGCATTAGGCACCATATAGGTGCTGGGGATACTCTAGCATATGACTTAAGTCCTACTCTCAAGAAATTTGAGGGTTAGATCAATGAAAGTTACATTGCTGGTGGAATATAAAACGGAAAACAGTTTGACAGTTCTTAAAAAAGTTAGACAATAGAGTTGCCACGTGTCCCCGGAATTGTACTCTTAGGTATGTATGCAAGGGAACTGAAAACATAAGATTCACTTAAAAACTTATACACCAATGATCATAGTAACATTATTCATAGTGGCCATGAAGTGAAACAATATAAGTACAAACTGATGGATGGATAAAAAAATGTGGTATATAGATTCAATGAAGTAGTATTCAGCCATAAAAAGCAGTGGATTATTGCCCTAGCTGATTTGGCTCAAGGGTCAAATCAGCTAGGGCAATACTAAAGGGTCCCTACTAAAGGGTCTTTATACTAAAGGGTCTTTCCTCGTAAGAGTTCATGTGATCACTCAAGGTCTGTCTAGATAATCCAGGATGGTCTCCCTATTTTCAAGTCTGTGACTTTCATTACATCTGCAACTCTCCATTGCCACGTAATGTAACATATTAACAGGTTCTGAGGATTCATGGGCATCCTTGGAGGGGGGTATTGTACGTAAGGGTCCCGGACTGAAGGATCCCGGGTTTGATTCTGGCTAAAGGCATATACCTAAGTTGCCGGCCGATTCCCAGTAGAGAGCATGCAGGAGGCAGCCAATCAATGATCCTCTCTCATCGTTGGTGTTTCTATCTTTCTCCCTTCCTCTTTGAAATCAATAAAAAAAATATTTTTAAAAAGCAGTGAATTACTATTATCTGCTACAACATGGATAACCTTGAACACATTAGACTAAGCAAAGGAAGCTAGACAAAAAGGCTATGTATTATATAGTTCCTTTTATGTAAAATGTCCAGAATAAGTAAATTTCCATAGACAGAAAGTGGATTTGTGGTTTGAGGGAAGAGTGAACAGAGAATGACTGCTACCAGGTATGGGAATTATTTTGGGGATGATAAAAATGTTCTGGAATTAGATATTAGTGATGATTTTACAACTTTGTAAATATTCTAGGAACCATTGTAGACCTTAAAAAGTTTGAATTTTATGGTAGGTGAATTACATCTCAATAAAAAGGCAATTCCAACAGAAAATAATAGATGTTTTCATAGATGCTGTGGTGGCCCCCTGAAGTAGTACTATATCAGGATTTTGGGGAGTTGTGAAGAGCAGAGAAGGCTTGCCATAAGGCATACCTGTTAAATTTACTCTTCAAAAATAAGAGTAAATCAGACAGAAAGGAGTATGAAGACAGACACATCCATTTTTGCCTCAATTCTATGATACTTCTCTCACAAATTATTCTCCCTGTTTTAATTTGCACCTGTTCCCTTGCTGTAGCTTTTGTCTCTGAGCCTGCTAGAAGCCACTCAGTTCCAGTTACTCGGTTGTTGTTGTTGGTGGTGGCCAGGTTCTTCATTCTCCTGTTCCCTTAACCTTTGCTTTATAACCATCTCTGTTTTCACTATGATGCAAACCTCATCTCTCATCTCTCCTCCACTGAGGTTCCTGCCAGCTGGGTGTAGTAGCCACAAGGCAGAGGCTATAAAGGTGGAAAAAAGAGATGGGAGTAGTTTAGCTGCTGATACTTTTGTCAAGACAGTGTAGTTCCCTACTGACTGAGGACGCTTAGCATCCTTTCATGTATATAAAAGCCTAAGGAACCATCCAACTGTTCAGCTGTCCGACTGGTACCTATGACATATAATGACCATGAGGAGGCAGACACTCCGACCAGTAGCTATGATGCGCACTGACCACCAGGGGAAAATGCTCAATGTAGAAGCCTCTGAGCTGTGGTGACTTGGCAGCTGCAGTTCTCAGATGACAAATCTGGAACCAGAGAGGTAGGGGGCCTAATTCTGGGGTGCGTCACCCAAGAACCACACCCTCTCACAATCTGAGACCCCTTGAGGGATATCAGAGAGCCAGTTTTGGCCCAATTCCCACAGGCCAGGCCAAAGGACCTCACAGCTGCACAAATCTGTTCACTGGGTCTCTAGTTTACCATCATATATCTCTTCTTTGGTGAAATGTCTTCTTATTGATTATACTAGAGGCCTGGTGCATGAAGTTTATGCATGGGGGGTGCCTAGCCTGCACCCTCTTCAATCTGGGACCCTAGTGGGATTGGGCTTAAACCAGCAGTTGGCCATCCCTCTCACAATCTGGGCTTCTGGCTCCTAACCACTCTTTTGCCTGCTTGCCTGATTGCCCCTAACCACTCTACATGCCAGCCTGATAGCCCCCTAACCACTCCCCTGGTGGCATGATTGATGCCTAACTGCTCCCTTGCTGGCCCGATTGCCCCCAGCTGCCTTCCCCTGTGGGGCTGAGGGGACTGGGGGACTGAGGCTGGATGTGGTGGGGCTGAAAGGACTGGACACCACCATCTTGTGGCTGTGGGTGCTGCCATCTTGTGAGGGCATAATAGTCAATTAGCATATCCTCTGTTTATTAGATAGGAAGTGCTCTTTGTATATTCTAATTACAAGTTCTTTGCCCAATACACATTTTGCAAATATTTTATTCCTCTCTGTGCAGTGTTATTTTCAAAAAAATTTTAACACTATTTCAAATAGTAGAAAATTATAATTATGATGAAATTCAACTTATCAATTTTTCTTTATCATTCAGTTTTGTGTGTGTATTATAAGAATTTTTTGAATATTCCAAGATCACATATAATTTTTCT